ATGCTCTATGAAAGTGAGCTGAAAAAACTAGCTTTGGCGTTTTGGGCACCCTCTTTTTGCTTCTCTGCTTGTACTTTGCTTCCAGAGATCTGCAGAACTGGTCAGGAGTGCAAAGAGATTCTCCCTTGCTTTCCCTCAGAGGCAACTGATTTGAACTTATTTGTAGAAGCACATGACACATCTGCTTGTAGGTAACCTGAGAGGGGAGATCCAGAGAAGGAGGAAGCATGGTGTAGTGGAACTTGATGGATTAAAAATCAGAGGACTTGGGTTTAACCCCAGCTTAAACACTTACTGAGTGTCAGTTCTTCATCTGAAAACTGAAGGTGTTGGCCTAGATGACTCCCAAGTTCCCTTCCAGCTCTCATACTCTAATTTTATGGTACTATGGTAGCAGTTGGGGGTATAGAGTCCAGCAGGAACACCTGGCAAAAGCAGGCATGTGTGTGCCCACACACAGAATCATGGAATCATAGATGTAGAACTGAGGGGCACTTCAGAGGTCATTTACCCCCTTATTTTTGCAGATGAAGAAATATACTTTCGGGGAATACACACACACACACACACAAGCATATGGCATGTATAAAACACACATATATATTTATATCTGTGTGGGTACATATATTTAGATAGATAGAAAGAAAGAATATAGATTTTCCTAGAGTAATTTCTAGTGGGGACGACCAGCCAGAGAGGAAAATTGACCTTCAAAAGGGTCAGCCTCTAGGATCAAACCTGGTCAATGTGAGCCCAGGTCATAGGTGATAGGTCCATTAGCCATTTTTGTTCTGTCCTTTCAGTTCCAAGGGTCATTCTCTTTGGCAGAAAAAATCAGAAGCAAAGTAAGAGCTGATTAGCTCTGCCTCCTCTCCATCATCTGTTGTCATTAAATCAGAAGCAAAGTTAAGAGCTGATTAGTTCTGTCTCCTCTCCATCATCTGTTGTCATTGTCTGATCTACCCAAGGACGAATCAAGTCTCTTCTTTGATGCTCCTCTATTCCTCAAGATAGCTTAAAAAAAAAATCCTTTCTTATTATACTTAGCTTTCCTTCACAGTCTCAGCTCATTTTGTGCTTTCATGCGCTTACCACTTTTTTTTTAAAGGACTGTGGCACACAATAGAATTTATCCTTTTTTACCTGTACTTGCTTTTTGTCTGTTAAAATCTAAGGTAGAAGGAGGCCATTAAACAAAGGAAAGGTTCTGTATACATTTAAATATTTAGAGCAGTTCTTTTTGTGATAGCAAAGGACTAAAAACAAAGTGGATGCCCGATTATTAGGGAATGGCTAGATAGATTGTGCTACATAAATGTAATGCAATATTAATGATAAAAACAGAGAAGCATGGAAAGACACATGAATGGATGCAAAGTGAAGTAAGCAGAACCAGGAAAACATCACACATGACTATGACAATGTAAATGGAAAGAATAACCACAAAATAATCAAAACTGATACTGATGAAGTATAGACTACAAGTTTGGCCCCGAAGAAAAGATGAGAAGACATCTTTGCATATGTTAGTCTCCATGTATATGGAACACTGCATATAATGTCAGATTTTTTTGATGTATTAATTAGTTTTGCTGATTTCCTCTCCCCTATTCTTCTAATAACTTAAAAAAATTAATAAAAAATTCACTTTTTCTCCTTTCCACCTTCACCCTTTCCCTGTAATCCAGTTACAAAAAATGTATAGTCAAGAAAAACAAATTCCTACATTGTTCACGTGAAAAAAAATGTCTTAGTACTCTGAGTCTATCACCTATTTATTAGGAGGTGGGTAGCATGTTTCATTGTGAGTTCTCTGGAAATTGTGGTTGGTCATTGCATTGATCATTGATTATTATTTTTGTTGTTGTTATTTTTGTTGTTATAAGGGATGCCTCCCTGGGAGAAGAAAGAAAGAGGAATATAAGGAGAAATCTAGACAATGTAAAAACAAAAGCTATCAGTAAAATTTTATTAAAAAACAACAATAAATCTAAGGCAGTTTGTCAGGGCTTTAGGAGTATTATTACCATGCCTATGTATCTGCATTGGTCTCTTTAGACTATTCCCCCTTTTTCTCTTCATTGAATTTCTTATTCTTGAGAGCTTCCTGTTCTTTTCTAAGCTGATTTTTCTATAGATTTTAGTCCACGGGATTCTATTTATCCTTACTCTGAAACCTTTAAAAATATGCTCTCCAAAATCCAAGATATACATCAGACTATATTGTGGCTTTCCTGTCCTGTTTTACAAAGTGCAAGATTGATCTTTCACTTCCAAATTTTCCATTATTTTTATCCTACATAATGAAACTATGTTAAAATGTAAGAACTAAACAATACAAACTTCAAATTAACCAGGTTGGGATTATTTGATATTTTTATTATAGAACAACTGGGTAGGAAGGTTACTGTCTAATAGCAGTCTTATTGAATTATATAGTATTTTTAAATATAAATTTTACCATACAGTTATTAGTTTTGGGCAGAAATCCAGGACCTGTAATTAAACCAATACATTCCGAAGTTACCCTAGAGGTGGAAAAAGATTAATTATTTTCCAAAATGTTAAAACTCATTCGACTAAACAAATGGTAAGTATAACATTTTTAAAAGCAAACCCAATATTTAGTATTTATTTTAATACTTATAAAAATTCAGATTTTAAAAGAAAACAAAAGAATACTTGGAACAAAGAAGAATGCTAAAAACATGGACTTCCAGACAATCTAAAGTCAACTTTGTGCCACTGGGCAAAATGTACCAACCTAGTGAATCAGGTACTAGACTGGGAGCCACAAAATTTGATTCTTGTTCCAAGCTGCGCTGACTTGTTTTTAATTTAAACAAGGCATTCCACTTCAGCGTTATTCATTTACAAAATGGTCATATTTCTCTCTTTGACAAAGGAAGACGCTATAAGGAATGAGTCTATAAAGTACTTTGATGTCTCAGGAAGAAAGGTTCTTCCAAAGGCATATTTTTATAAGCTTGTACTCATACAATTTATGTAGCTCTTGTGGAAACTATTTCAATCTTTAGGACTGCTAATTTAACACTCCTCTAGTATAATTCACTTACAAATTCCCATAAAATTAATTCATATAGGAATCTCTACTTTTAAAAGACAGAAGTGTGTTAATTGTTTGAACTTAAGCTAAGTTTCTATTTAATAGTCTTATGGGTTTGTTTTGGTCCTGACCTGTGATTGATTGTGTGTGGGAATTCCCCTTCTGCATTCTTCCTGCACACATGCAAATCAGCAATTTAAGGCTTTGCAGAGTTGCCTGGGTCACCAGCTGATTAATTGTCTTTTGAGGTCATAGAGCAGGAAGGGATCTCAAAAGCCATCTAGTCCAATCTAAATGAGGAAACCGAGGCCTCAAAACGGCAAATGATTTGCCAGAGGTTGGTAAGGTAGTAAATGCAAAATTTATATGTACTGGGAGAGGGGCGTCATAGGATTTTAGAGTTGAAAGGAACCTTGGATGTCAACTAGTGTAATTCACTCATTTTACAGATGAGGAAGACTGAGCGGAAAGGGCATGCAACACTGAGGTTCTAAGTTCTAAGCAAATTCCAATGAAAAACTTTTTTTCCTTTTGCATTATAAGAATTCTTAGTTAATTGCAAACTCGGGATTCCTTTATGAACTTTTGAAGCTATTCACCATGTTTACAATCCTGAACAAATTTAAGTAGACAGAAGGCGGGAGGCGAGGGGCGGGGATGGAGGAGAGGGACTAGGTTTCCGTACTGTCTTGAACCAGTACCATTCTAGAAGTTGCCTATTGGGGAGCATTTAGTTCTGCACCAAGGGTGCTTAGTGGTGTAGACTGGGGTGGAGGTGAGGGTGCAAGAAAAGACACGCTGCACCGACACCAGCGCTCGATTACTCTTGCCTAAGCGAGAGGCTGCTACAGCCGCCGCTGGTGGAGGGAGGAGGGCGACAATAACAAAAAGAAGTAAAAGTAGGAGGGGGAAAAAGATGAGCCTGAGTTGAGGCTTGGTTGGAGGAAAGACAGGCGAGAGGAATATCGGAAAGGGAGGGGGGAGGGTTGGTGGTGGAAGAGAGCACGCTGGGTAACCCAGCGCTCCTTGCCGGGGCGAAGGGGACTTGGGGATCACTAAGGTGGTGAGTCCCCGAGGCATCCCCGGGAGAAGCCCAGCTGATCAGGCTCGCGCGTGCGCGCACTTGCTGCGAGACAACTCTCCCACTACCACCGCCCCCGCCCCCTCCCCTCTAACACGCACTGACCACAGTGCCTCCTGCAGCGGCGGCGTCCCAACACCCCCGCCCTCCCCACTTCTCCACCCTCTCGGGACCTGGCCGGTCCAGCTCGGCGGGATCTCGCGCTCTTTGGCCGAATTACGGTGCTCCATCCCTTCAGGTCCTCCCCACCCCCCCTTTCATTTTCCCCTCCCTTTTTCCCTCCCCCCCTCGCTACTCCTCCTTCTCGCCCCTCTCCCCCTTTCCCGTGTTCTGCCCCTCCCCCCTCCGCCTCTCTCGCCTAGCGCCGCCTGCGCGCTACGTCTTGCGCCGGCGGAGTCCGCCGCAGGGTAACAGCGGCGACGGCGGCGGCAGCAGAAGCAGCAGCAGCAGCAGCAGCAGGAGCAACAGCAATAGGAGCGGGAGCAGCAGCAGCAGCAGCAGCACCAGCACCACCACCAGTAGGAGCAGCGGCGGCGGCGGGAGCAGCCCAGCATCAACCTCCTCCGCCTCTTCTCTCGCGCTCTCCCCGCCCGCCCTCCGTCTCCCTCCATCGCTTCGGCAGTCCCTGTGCCTCGCGCGACCGCTGAGCTCGAGCCAACGTTCTTTCTCGCAACCTCCCCCCCTCCGCTCCCCCATCCCCGGCTCTCAGCCCAGCCTCTCCTCGGCTTCCCCTCCCCCACAAGCCCCCCAACCGTCGCGCTCACCCCTAGGCGCGCGGGCCCGGTCGCCTGCTTCCGGGGAGAGGGGGGGTGGGGGCGGGCGGACGGACCGATTGACTGGGCCAGTGCTGGCAGCGCCCCTGGGGAGCAGAGGAGGAAGAAGGAGAAGAAGAGGAGGAGGAGGCGGGGGTGTGAGTCTCGGCCGGGATCGGGATGTCCGGGCAGCAGCAGCATCAACATCAACAGCAGCAGCAGCTGCCGGCCGTGGCAGCCGCGGCCGTGGCTCCGGCCCCGGGGGTCGTCCTGCCGGCCCCCACCCCCGTTAGTGCCGGCACCTCTCCGGCCGGCCCCGCCGCAGCCGTGTCCCCGGTCGGGGGAGCAGGAAGCGGTGGCGGCAGCGTTGGCGTCGGGGTGGGGGCCGGGGCGGCCGCCCTGCTCCTGCACCCACCGCCTCCGCCGCCACCCCCGGCCACCGCGGCCCCGCCGCCGCCTCCGCCGCCGCCTCCCCCGCCTCCGGCCGCGGCCGCCGCCTCCCCGGCCCCCGGCGTCTCGGCGGCCGCCAGCCCGGCCGGAGGGGCCCCGCCAGCGGCCACGGGGAGCAGCGCCCCGGCCCCCTTCCCCCACGGGGACCTGGCCCTGAACGAGCAGGAGAAGGAGCTTCAGCGGCGGCTCAAGCGCCTCTACCCGGCGGTGGACGAGCAAGAGACTCCGCTGCCTCGCTCGTGGAGCCCGAAGGACAAGTTCAGCTACATCGGCCTCTCGCAGAACAACCTGCGGGTCCACTACAAAGGTAACTGGCCTGGGGGCCGATCACCCCCCCCCAATCCCTCCACTTCCGTGTTTTTGTTTTTAAAATGTGTTTTGGCTGCTGAGCTTGTTTTCGAAGTGTTTTCAAATTCGGGGGGCGGGGGGTGGTGGAAAGAAAGGTGGGGGCAGGCCACTTCCGAGGGACTGGGAAGATTCTTGGGGAAAGGAAAGTGAGCATAATTATCTGGAGCAGAGATGTAGTAATCTTCTCACCAGTAACAGGACACCTCGAAAAGATCCAGAAAGGAAACATTTTTACAACAATGTCAGGACAAAACTCTTTCCTGATCTCCCTTAAAGTAGAGGAAACTTACATCTTCAGTGTTTAGTTACATTGTTCTCCCAGGATTCTCTCTTTAATTATTTTGGTGTAGGGATAAAAAGAATCTTAAGTATAGTTACTTATCTAAGGTCAGGAACACGAAGGAAATGGATATTTATTTAGTGGAAGGTTGTTCCGAAAAACAGACCAGAAATTGTTTAGAAAAGGAAGAACCAAGGGCACACGTTCGAAGTCAACCTATTTCATCAGACACAGCAGGGAAGTGTTAAGAAGGTGAAGTCACAAAAACAAATCTTGACTACTGAAACCTAACAGAAAGGGGAATGACATTAAAATAATCTGTACTTTTATATTGATACAGGTAATGTTATGGAAACAAGACTATTTCACTCTTGATAATTGTCTTGATATTGCTGTTTTATACTTGTAATTTACAAGATCTGTGTGACTGTCAGGAGATGTCCCTCAAAACAAAGCTTTCTGAAAAATAGCCGTGTATAAAATTGTATATTGTGTGGGGAGAGGATTTGAAATTTCCTGAAGAGTGAACAGCAGATATATTAATCTGAACAGCAAATATATTAATCTGATCTATTTTTTTTTAATCCATCTAACAATAAATATTAGGTCTGGAAACAAATCTAGTCTTTTAGGCCCAAGACCTATAAGAGCTTTCACGTTCAAAACAGCCTCTTTTTGATTGGCTGCAATGAGAGGGTCTTGATAGAGTCCTAGGCAGATGAATGTGGAGTGCAGAAACAACTTTGTGGTTTAAATCCTTAAAGTATACGGGGTGAAATTTGAGACAGACCTCGATAAACGAGTTACTGTTTAATCATAAAGGAGAATGACTACAGGCACACAACTGGCATGATTTGGTTGTACTGAGGAGACCTATATACATTAAAACTGATGTTACTGAATATTGATTTACTCTTTTTTTCTCTTGCCACTCTTCTAGACAATATTGACAATTTAAAATAATTATTTTATTAAAAATTTCAGAATAATATGCTAGTTATTTCACTTTTAATTTTCTACTTTTATTACTGTGGTTTGATGCTATGTGGATAAGGTCTTTATCTTTGATATAACTTCCAAAAAAGTTTTCTAAGCTGGACTTGATAGATTTTCATTTCTGTTAAAAAGTTTTGTCGATGGAAAAATATAAGTATGTAAACCAGTTAATGTGGTGTGATCAAAAAGAACCATTGGTGTCAGTTAATTTTAGCCATTACTCTGGATTATATTATTAACTGTGATCTTGGGCAAGTCATGGACCTCATCTTCCTCTTCTGTACAGTGAAGCAATTTTTTAACTTAGGCATAAATACGGTTTTAATTCTTTAGGTCAGTTTTAATAGCTACTTTAAAAGTGAATAATGAAATGCATTTTATGTTCATTTTGTGAAGTCACCAATATGTAAAAAACACTGGTGCCTCTGTTTTTGTATTTTTCTTTAAAGCTGTTGGCCACATTATCTTTTCTGTGCATACTGAGGTCCACTTTCTGGAAACTTCACTTTTTGTTAATTACAAACTCTTGTTTCTGGAGGACTACATTTTGATGTTTGGTCTATGGTTTTTTTTTCTCTGCAGTCTTCTCTTCTGCCCTCTCCCCATTTTCTTCCTCTGTTTCCTTTCCTTTTACTCCCCCCCATCCCTCTACTCATATCCTTTCTCTTCTGCTTTTCATTTTTATGTGTTATATGAGTGGATGAAAAAATGTAAGGTATACTAAGTCAACTTTGCTTGGTAGCCATGGAAGAGAATAACACGGGAGTGTTGTGAGCAGTTTTAGAGAAAACAACCTTTTATGTAGATGAGAAAAAAATGAAAGATGTAATTGTATTTGATTTAACCTACTATTGAATTTCATCTACCATTTGTATAGTTTTGCATGTTTCTAAATTCCAAAAGATGTTATCACACCTTTTTTCCAGCATGTGGCTCCCTTATTCTGTCCATAAGACCTTAGTCTTATAAGCAGAGATTGGGCATGTGTATTTGGAAACTGTATTCCTTAAGTGACTGGAAGGATTAATGTTCAGCAATGCTCTGAAAGATGATTGTATTGCCAGGGCTGTGCCTAACCACTGGGGTTGTATCTATATAGAAATATGGCCTATGCATGGCATTCCCTTAATTGATAATTGAGGAATAGGGCTTAAATCCTTTCACTTTAAGGATTAAAGTTTATTATATTTCAATCAACTCTTTGTAACATTTATAGTTAGTGATAGATTTGACAGGCTATATGTTGAATTAGCCTTTCAGAAAAGTTTAAAAACAGATATATTTACAATTTTTCTCAGCTTATAAAACTTTATACTCTTTCCCTGTTTTTAAAGTATTTTCCAAGTTATCACTTACCTGTAGTTTGACTGGAACTTTCTTGATTGTATGTATGCCACTTTAATGCTTCAAACCCGAAAACCCTAAATAAAAGGATAGAAGGATGTTTGAAGAGTAACCACTTAGAAATATTACCCACACAAGGAAAGTTAGTTGGTATTTCTCAGATTGGTCAATAGAGTGCCTTGGAAAGACTGTGATATGAAGCCATGACACAGTCAAATCACTTTAGATCTCTTATTTAAAAAGGTAAAGTAATGCCCTTAAAAATCTCAAGTAAGATTTTAGCTTTGGTTAATAGGTTATCAAAGAAATATAGTAAGAAATTTGAACTTTCCTTCCATTCCCTTTTTGAAAAGTGATTCTGGTGCCAAATGAACTTTTTTCAAAACCCAATTACTAGTCACAAAGTCAAAAGGTAAATGGGAATAGCTTCACTATGAATTTATTAATATATCATTGACTTCAAGTGATAAATAATGAGGCAGTTTATGCTTAGATTAATCTGGGCTATGAAAAATGAATTTTCACACTAGAGGAAACAAAGGCAAAGAACAGGCAGGGAAATATTAGGAAATGTGAGGCAAACTTCTTTTGTAAAGGACTCAGTGACATTTGACCATATTCCTTCCTCACCTTTCCTTTAAGCCTTTAATACTTCACCCCAGGGGGGTGGAAGGAGTTTTCCTTGAATTGAGTGGGCAGAAGTTTCCCTTTGTGAATCCTTGCTTCACAACAGGAAGATGAATCAGATAGCATCTCTTAATCATTTCATGGTTCAAAATGGCTGTAGCCCATGGTCAAAGGACTTCCATGTCTAGAAAAATTGTTTCATTAAATGAATGAAATTTTTACTCTTCCTATGAAAAACTCCTTTAAGTATGTGTAAATATGTGTATACATACATGTGTATATACACACACTTAAGTGAAAGATACTTATGCATACATAAACTATATATGAAATAGAATTTATTATATGTCCAGTATAAAAAATTCTTACATAAGAAAATCTGAAATTAAATGAGAGAACAATAAGTTGATTTATAAAAGGTTCCAATACAAAGATTCTTTAATAAACTTCCCTAGTGAATATAAAGTGCAATTCAATTGATCACTTTTCAAAACTACATTGATTGCATACAGGACTCCCATACTGGAAACCCAACCTGAATCAGTCATTTAGTAACACTTTTTAAGAACTGTTTTTAAACATCGTTGCTTCTTGTCAGTTTAGAATAGAAGAAAAAATGTTTAGTGGAGTGTTTGTGTACATAATGGTTTTAAACATAATCAGTGCTTGAAAAAGCTTGATATCCAGTAGGAGGATGTCTTGTCTTGATGAATAGAGAGTAGGGAGGAGTTATTCGTCATTCCACAGACTGAAGGAAGGATTTTAGCTTTGTGTATTTAATGCTCTTCCCTGGAAGTGCCACAAGCTTGTCCTTCTTCATAGACCTAGAGGTCTGGAACTGATTTCTAAGTTCACAGTGATTGTTTCAGGAGGTAAGAGTTGAGTATGGAGGAACCTTTAACTTTTAAATGCCATTAAATACTTTGGTAAAATTTTCCTTTTTGTCCTCAGTGATGTATTTCCCCCTTCACATTGCTGCTTGCTATGTGAAATTCCAGTTGGAGTTCAGAATTTCACAATAGTTCAGAATATTTCATAACATGACCTATGACTAAAGCCTCCAAAGCTTACAATCAAAATTCAGATCAGCTTTTTGTTTTAAATCTAGAAAGGCAAGAGGGAATTGACTCCCTGTAGCCAAGGGCTTTTGGGGTTAAATAACATTGAAGATTGGTGGATATTATTTTATAACCCGAGAGTTATTTCAGACTTTTTCCTCTTGAGAACTGGACTTATACATTGTCTATATCTCTGCTGCAGTATTTCTGCCACTTTCCTTCCTCATCCTCTGTCCCCTAACCAGCTTATTTCTAGTTTCAGCTACATGCTCCTTTAACTTTAGTATACATTTAACTGCTGCTATTTCTGCTACATTGGCTACACTTTTCCATCTCTCTCTTTCTCAGTACCACCTACCTTTTCCACACAGAAATATGAAGAAAAATTCCTTGTCTCCTGATCGCTGAATGATAGTGCCAACCACAATTTCCATCATTGCCTATTGAGAATTTTTTAGATAATTAACTTTTATATTTTTCTAGCTTTCTTTTGCTGTCAGAGGGTCTAACTTAACTTTTCTAGGAAAAAAATAAGGTTTTTAGTGCATTGTAGACCAATTAAAATGAACATGGTACCCAGTTTACAAAAGTTTTGTGACTAGGTTAAGGAATACAGTGGGAGGGTAAGGAAGGAACATTAACTTGTCAAGGGCT